AAGGGGAAGCTTACTTCTCTACTCTAGCATACACCACCATAACCGGCAACGTAACCACGGTCGCGTCGCTCGAGCTCGTTTCCGTCCACTTGGCCTCTTGTATCTCCCACTAGCCTAGGGGGGCAGCCTAGTGGAGCTGCCCTGCCGTGTGAGGGTGAACTATCGAGGTTACGCAGTGGCGGTACACCGGCGTCTGTGTTATCCTCACGCCACCTCAGCTGCCGTAGTATACGGGGGCCGGGGCTACTGGACGAACGGGCAGAGGATCTGCCTCACTAGGTCCAGGAAGACTCTCCGTCTATTACAGTGCGGGAGGCAACTATAACAGGGTTAGAAAGTATTAAGAAGGGGGAAGGATATTGAGTGGCTCTGTACCAGCGAGCCACTAGGGAGATACAAAACTCTCTATCTCTCTAGTAGGGTAGTAGTAGGGTAGTAGTAGAGTAGCGTACTGTACTGTAGTATAGTCATTGAGATATAGAGACGGGGAGAGAGAGAGGCAACAAGGTCAGTCTATATTCTTTGCAGCTAGGTAGGATACGCGGGTGCCTAGGTAGGATCTGTATCCTGGGTGATGACGTTGGGGGATGTGGGTCATCCGACTTCGACTGACTGTTTCCCGCGGTTTCCACGACTGCGAGGCGGGCAGCGGCTGGCCAGCCGGAGGAGAAGATGCTCCTGAAGAGGAGATCCGCACTGCCTCTTCGACGATTGCGTGCGTTGGAGAGACGGAACGAGGAGTTGTGTCAAAAGGTGCGACAGCACAACAAACGCATGATAATGGAATATCTGCCGGGTTTGGGGCGGCGTGGATTATCTTTCAGGCATGCTTCAACCTCCATTTGAAGAATCCGATTAAGTTAACCACACCACTCGGAGCGCTCGTGGTACGAAAGTCGTGAGAACAGCCAACTCGAACTTTTGGGGTTCAATGCCCACTAGTTTGCGGTTACGACTCGTGGGCATTCGCACGCAAAAGGGTGGCCGAGTTCTTCATAGAGCGCATAGTCCCGTGCGTACTGCTGACAAACCTGCTGCAGATTTCTGGGGTTACACAGCCTTGTTTTCATGTGCACATCTNTGTTGCGATGTGATGCAACCGAACCTGGCATGTACAAACTTGGGGATCCTCCAGTACACCGCTCCCAGCCAGCATTGATCAACTTTCCAAGCTCGGCACGATGCGTGAAACTCGATAAAATGAGGAGATGTCAGAAATCTCAATGATGTGATCAAAGCGAGCGTTGGGGCTACCGATGCACATATCGGCAGCGTGAGCAACGTGCTTTTGGTAAGCTTCGTGCCGTGGCACGTAACGTGTCAGAAAGTCATAAAAAGATGAATTGGCTAAGATGTGTCCACGTTTAATTTGATCCGCATATTCACTGACGGCTCTATCCCATGGATCTCGTATGATGGCAATGTTTGTTGTATTTGGAGAATACTCGAAGGAGACTCCTCTCGATTTGAGAGCGTTTCCATTGTCCCTAAAGACGAAGTCCCAAGACGCATGACAGTCAGTGACCTTTCCGTCTTTTTCGTCATTTAGGTGCACGGCGCGTTGCACGATATGTTGATTCATCGTCGAACCCGCTTTCGGGAATGAGCAAAGAGATAGGTTGAGGAACTGCATCGTGTAGAATCCGAATAAGCTCATCGCGTATGAATGCGGAAGGCGGGCCAGCAAGTGCTCGAGAACCTGGAACCACCACCACAGCGAAAGCTCGGCGAGAGCAGAGGTCTACCCCTCTCTGCTGAGGAGGGTGCTAGCAGTTGGGGATATCCTACGGGGGTGTTCCCATCCATTCACCATCTTTGCTTCTAATACGTATTAGGTCACCTACTTTGGGTTTCCTGAACTTTTGAGGACTGGCATTGAGGCCAGGAGCTGTAAGGGGGACTTCCTGGGTAGGAGGAGGAGGAGATGGTGCCACTGTTGATGAACCTGGCCATAAGTCTATAGGGGAGCTATACCGACGTACCAGGAAAATAACAAGGGAAAAAGGAAAGTAAGAAGATACCAGGATACCATATCCATAAGAAATAGCTAGGAGGGCAGCAGTGTGAAAAACAAAAAATTGAAACGAATTTTCCCACGTCCATTGGACGTCCGTTGGACGTCCGTTGGACGTCCGTTGTGACCCCCGCGCGCGGTGGACGGAGGGCCTCTATGAGGACCTGCTGTAAAGGGAATGAAGCCTTCACTAGTACGATTTCACCCACGTACCACACCCATGGTCCGCCGATAGAAACCTTGAAGGGACAATTCCCGCTACACTGCCGCCGGGCGACCGCAGATTAATAATTAATAATTCCTATGGCGCGCGCCAGCCCTATGGTTGTTTTCACACTGGAGAGCAGCGAGCCACTAAACCATAGCAATTCCTCCACACTGGGAGGGGCTCCAGGGCAGGCCGGCTAGTGCCAGTGGACGGCAAGCCCCCAAAATGTGCGAGTTCCACCGCGGGTGGTGTGGTGCACAACCTCACAGGAGTGACCCAGGGGTATCAAATGGATAAACCGGGGATCTGGGCGAATCATAGGACGATGAGCTCGTTACCCCCCACCCCCCCCTTGAGGCAATCACTCGGTGGCGCGTTTTTTGTATAAACTCGGGGCATCAGTTCTATTTCAGCATCATCTGTCGAAGATGTGAGAAGTACTGGTAACACCAGATTTCGAGTTTGCTCTTTTGACCCCCTCCTTTCCCACGACGTCCTCCTTGACCTAGTGCTGAAACCACACGTCGAGGGGAACATATCGCTGACTTCGCCAGCCTTTTTCTTTCCTGCGAAGTGCTGCGGGGTTTTGGCTGACATCGCCTCTACAATTTGGATGGAGAGGTATGCCTGGAAGCGCGCCCGAGATGCAAGCTCGGACGCGAGGCTGCCGAGCGGCGCACTCCCTGACGACGGTGGCGTCCTGGTTGATAGAATCTATGGCACTCGCGTTGAGGTGGGCTAGGGCGACTACGAGAGACAGTGCCGCTGCTCGGGCACCGCACGTCATCCTGAGGTGACGGGCGCAATAATGGAACTCGTCGGTGGCCGCGACATCAAAATTACGCGCGTTTACGCGCGGCATGTTGTCGAGGCTGACCGTGCCCGGGTTCCACTGGTCAAGGAGAGCACCGTACTCTTGATGTCGGATGTTGGCGTGAAATCGGAAGTTACCGCCCTTGACGGCAGACGGCGACGCGCACCAAAAAGTCTCCCGGGCGACTACGTTCCCGCGGGGTCGCTTCGGGTGGTCGGCGCAATAGGAAAGGAGGTGGTCTGTGCGGTAGAGTCCATCCGATGCCACCCATCTGGCCCATGGGTTACGACTCTTTAGGTCCTTTTTGCACGTCTCTAAAATTGAAGTGTCGGCAAGAGGTCGTAGGGCCTCGGCGTTCAGGATCGCAAAGGACGAATAGACGCTCGCTCGCGGACCGAGAGCGCCGCCACCGCCAGTCACGATTGGAACTGAAACGTTTGTATCGAAGGGGAGCGTCCTAGCTATCGCATCCAGGAATCGCGGCAACGCCAGAACGTTCCACCAGACGTCGTGCGCGGTGAAGATGTAGTACCTGATGCCGAGCAGGTCGAATTTCGCGAGAGCGCGGCCGTAGGCACATTCGTGACGTCTCCGCATGGCTGATACCTGGTCCACAGCGCCTGGGAATCCGCAGGATTCGACACCCAATTCAGGAAAGTCACCATCTGCATAGATTGCCTTGTGCTTAAAATGTGCGAGGAAGGCGCGATTGATCGCGTCGATTCGATCCGTTCGCACGTCGGCGTTGCTTAGAACGACCTAAGCGATTCAATGGTGTAACTTTCGGTGGGGGGTCACCTAGGCGCCAAATAGACAATAGCGGCAAGGCAGTCGCCCCGCAGATCGCAAGGTCGAGGCGTCGGATTTTCTTTTAACGCGTCAAGCGTGGATTCATTGAAATCTAATCGGAAGAGTCGATGGTCAGAATCGCTAATCTCCTGGCGACGGCCACGTTCGGGCAACCCGTTTGCGGTCGCCAGGGAGAGTGGCGGCAGGTGTCCGTCGTCGAGGATCGTTGTCCATGCCCGCTTGCGACAGAGCGGTGGGAAGATCCGATAGACAGAGCGCGTACTCCGAGAGAGAGAGGCGCCAACGGTGATCTGGCTGAGGCCGGATGGAAAACATGCTTGTGACGCGAGTTTTTTCTCGACGACGCGTTTCTCTGATCCTTCCCACTCGAAGAAGCGCTGCCAGCAGACGACGCGAATACCGCGCCAATCACCGGGCAAATCTTCTGGAGTCGTGCTCGCAGCTTGAAACACTACGATGTCTGGCTCAGGGACCTCGCAAGGGAAAATTTACGTACGCCGAAGCGCGCGTCTGGCCATCGCGTCTCGCGGAAGAGCGTCGGTCGCCGCAAGTCGTGTCGTCACCACCAGTGATACGCTGTCCCACGCGGGTTGGAGATTGAAAAGCTCGAGTTGATCGACGACAGGCCAAAATTCGGGAGGCTGGAGCTGCCGCGAAAAGCACGCATGCTGGTCGGCCTCGACGACGTGGAAGCGCTCGTATTCGGCCAGCAACGCTACTAGGGCGAGTTTCACGGATGACGGCACGGTCCTATACACGTATACAATCCACTCGAAGCTCGCATGCGTCTGCGCAAGAACGCTTGGAAAAGTGTATGAACGGAATATTTCGAACTCGCTTAAAGGACAGGCGACGCTCTCGCGCCGCCCGAGCCTCGATATCAACACGTGTTCCACCTCCTGCCAGGTCTTCGGTACACGACGATGTGACAGCACCGACGCGCATGCTGGTGCTTGTCCCTGTCCCAGCGCAGCTAGAAGGACCACAATCGAGAGAAGCATATGCAAGCCGGTAGATTGCTTCATATACGAATTACACCGCGCGAAGGCCGCTGCGAGCAGTGCTGAACGTCCCGGCATGGGCCCTCTTTCGCAGCCCGCTGGGCCTCGAGCGCCCCGGGCGGGCCGAGCTAGCACAAATTTCTATTCGCTACAAGTTTCGCTACACAGTGTACCACTCCAGGGACTCTCCCTGGAGTAACCCGGAGTACAGTATAAGGAAAGGAAGGAGAGAACCTCCCTATCTCCCTATGTTGTACTGCCGTAAATGCAATTTCCCTACTTTCGGTCCGGCGCTATCGAAATTTGAGACTTAACGAGGTTCAATATGAGTACCGCCCTCCCTTGAATGAAGTTTGCACCCGCAACCTCATCCAGCCAGACCTCAGAAATGCAAACCTTGCTCACCCGAGCTCGGCTGCGCCCTCGCCGCTGCTCCCCTGCTAAGCGACGTCCCCGTGTCCGGCTGGTCACTCGGCCCCCAGCGTGCTGCCCGGCGCGCTGGGTCCGGCGAGTGTCCTTGGCCGGCGGGCTGTCCTTACAGCCCGGCCTACTTCCTTGGTCGGCCACCACCACCCGGCAATGGCCTTCCTGTTGCCTTCGTTCCGTTCCTCACGAAAGCCACTTTTTTCCCGGGGGTTTGCGCGGCAGACACGGCATCCAGCGCGCGCTGACGCTGCCGTTGAGGGAGGTCGTTGGCCAAATTGGCCGGATTGGCCGCGTTGGCTGAATCCCATTGGCCACGTCCAACCGCGATTGGCCGTGCGTCCGATGGGCTTCGTCCGATCGTCCGATCTGGCCGATCGTCCGATCGTCCGATCTGGCCGACATGAGTCGCGAGCTCTGCGTCAGTCACACTGCAATGCGAGGACTGCCAGCAGGAGAGGCCGCCTCGAGCGCCGGGGTACGGGGGGTAAAATTTAAAAAAAAAATGGGGTTTCGGGGAGGTGCCGGGCGAGTCACTTCGGGTCCCCGGCGAAGCCCTTGTAGCCTACTTTGGGGGGTCGATCGGTCGGTCGGTCGGTCGGTCGGTCGTCGTCGTCGTCGTCGTCGTCGTCGTCGTCGTCGCCGCCGCCGCCGCCGCCGCCGCCGCCGCCGTCGTCGTCGTCACGCGCGTGGGGGAGATTCGAACCCGAGTCAGCCGTAGGGCGACCGCACAGAGGTGATGTGTTGCCCCAACTCCTGTCACGGCGTATAAACCCGGAGCTGCAAAAATCGGGTGGGGACGCGCGCCGCATTCGCAGTGATCGATGTCTGCAGAACGGCGGCAGTCCGCGGATCGGAAGTTCTGGTTCATCGGCGTCGAGGTCTTGGGCGGGCGGGAGGGCGGCGTTGGCCACTTCCACGGAATCGACGCGCCCCGGATGGTCGCCGCTCGCGAGCGGGCTGCCCAGACGCTGCCCAACGTCGCGAGATCGTGGCCAATGGATGTCTTTTACGTCCAATGGCCGGGGGTCGCGTCCAATGGCCGCTAGGTTCGTCCAATGGCCTCGTCCCTGTCCGATCGCGGTTGGCTCTTCGTCCGATCGTCCGATCGCGGTTGGCTGCCGTCCGACGGCGTACGTCCAACGTGGCCAATCCGGCCAATTTGGCCAACGACCTCCCTCAAAAGCAGTCCTTCTCCAGCGACGTCGAGTCGGCGGAGGCGGCCATCGCGGGGAAGGACTGGGAGCGGTCATTGCGCTGGAAGGTCGTCAAGGCGCGCCCGAGGGCCGACGACGGTGGCGTGACGTACTACACGCTCAGCTACTACTGCTACAAGTCGAGGCGGGACCGCATGGCGAAGAAGTCGCCCACGCAGAAGTTCATCACGACGTCCATGGTCCCCGGCTGCCCCGCGCGCTGGCGCACCCACAACGAGGCCAACCTCGCGATGGCCAAGTACGTCGCCGTCGTTGAGAGTCCCGGGAAGGCCGGGCGCAAGCGGAGCGCCGGCGGCGACGAGGGGGACGTCGAGGTCTGCGGCGACGGCGACGACGACGTCCCGGACGCGCCCGCGCTCGCGGCGCCCGCGCCCGACGGCGACGACGGCGGCGTCGAGGACGGCGACGACGACGTCCCGGACGTGCCCGCGCTCGCGGCGCCCGCGCCCGAGGGCGACGACGGCGGCGACGACGACGACGAGGAGGAGGAGCTCGCGGAGGACGACTTCACGGGCTGCGGCGGCGACCTCGTGGACTGGACCCCGAAGGTCACGCTGCGCAGGCCGCGCGGCGCGGGCGCCGCGGCCGAGGCCCGGCGCAGGAAGCGCTCGAGCTTGGGCCACCGCACCATGGACGCGCTCGCGGCGCTCAGGCGCGGCGCCATGCGGCTCATCGGCGCGGTCGGCGGCGCCTCGCGCCGCCGTCGCCACCAGTCCGGGCACCGGGGCGACGACGGCCGGGAAGACAACCGGAGAAGAGACGAGGAGAACCGACGGGCGCGCGTCGAGGAGGTCATAGAGCGCAACGCGAGGCGGTACCAGCCCATGATCGACCGCCTCCGCGGCCACCTGACCGCCGAGACCACCTACCACCTCTCCCTCGCCTACGACCCGGAGGACCCGGACTCGCGCCTCAAGATGTCCGACTCGGAGCTCCGCCGGACGCGGACCAAGGCGGAGCGCGTCGAGCGCTACCTCCGCTACTTGAGGGACTTCAACACCGGCGAGCCAGGTTCCTTCACGGCCCTGGAGTGCGCGCAGAAGGCGGCCGACGAGGCCTACGGCAAGGTCAGCTCGCGGACGGTCATGGGCTACTTCCGGAACCAGTACCTGCCCTCCGAGGGCTACTTCCTCGCCGACGAGCGCGGCAGCTACCCCCGCGACTCGTGGACGAGCTGCTTCCTGAGCCAGGACGACCTCGTGCTGCGGCTGAACCTCCTCGTCCGCGCGAACCTGCGCACGATGTCCTTGGAGAAGCTCGCGGAGCTCATGTCGGAGGTCATGATGATGAAGATCACGGACAACTACGACGGCGGCGCCCCCACGGGGAGCAAGACGATCCGCTCGACGCGCGCCACGACCGTCGAGCCGGACTGGTACGTCGACGGCGACGTCGACGGCGACGTGCGGGGCTTCTTCTGGAAGCGGTACGGCCTGTCGTGGCCCATCAAGAAGGGCCACGGCGTCTACACCATCGCCCACTCGGACAAGATCCAGCTCGAGTACCGCGACCGCAAGAAGTCGTACATGACGGACGTCCACGAACGCGCGGCGGACGACCGGAACGAACGATTTTTGCCGCTCGACAAGGAGATGGAGAAGCTCCAGCACAAGTGGATCCAGCTGTCCTTGGAGGAGGCGGAGAAGCTCTTCGTCGCCCACGAGAAAACCAATCCCAACGCGCGCCAGGACCTGGAGCCGCACCGCGTCAAAGTCGAGATCGACGGCGCGTCCGTCGACGCCGTCGAGTTCAACGTGAACGCGAGCTCGGCCTTCGAGGCCTACGTCGAGTCCATGCCCATGGGCGGCTCCCTGAGCGCCAGGTGGCCCAGCGACGCGCCGCCGCTCGTGGCGATCGGCCAGGACGAGATGTGCCGGCACAGCCACGAGTACACGTCCAAGTGCTGGACGCACAAGGGCGCGGCGCCCATCGACAAGAAGTCGCGCGGGCTGGCGGTCCACGTCAGCGGCTTCGTCTCCCGCGCCCAGAAGATCGGCTTTGGCTTCCCGCTCGACGAGGCGACGCTCGCGGCCATCAACGCGCACCGCGCGGGCAAGCAGTACCCGGTCACGACGTCCGGCGTCGACGTCGGCCAGGCCTGGATCAAGGTGCAGGAGCAGCAGGGCGTGGCCCAGCCGACCAAGGACATGCCGCCGCTGAAGAAGAACGTGCCCGCGGGGTACTGGGACAACGCGGTCGACATCTGCGCCGTCGGCTTGTGGCACATGAACCCGGGCGCGAACAAGGAGGGCTGGTGGCTGGGCGTCCACATCATCGTGCACACCTACGACGTCATCCAGGCGTTCGAGTTCGTCTACGGGAAGCTCTCGGACGCCGCGACGCCGTGCCAGGCCCTCTTCTACTTCGACCACAGCGCGCAGCACGGCCACTCGAAGCCGGACGCGCTCTCGACGACGCAGATGAACCTCTCGTGGGGCGGCGACCAGCCCATCGTCCGCGACACGATCATCGAGCGCTCGGAGGGCTTCCTGGGACCCTTCGAGCCCGTGCTCAAGCCCGGCGACACCCAGCGCGGCTATTTTGATGATCCGTCGGCGCCGCCCGTGGACGATCCCGCGGCGCCGCCCGGGAACGGACGCCGAGCCACGGCCAAACCCAAACCGCCGAAGCATGGCGCGGAGTACTACCGCGCATCGGCGCTTTTCGATGCCAACGCGACGGCGGAGGCGAAGATCCGGGCGGCGACGACGGAGGCGGGCGTCGCGTGGGTCCAGATCGCCGCGGACGACGCGAAGGCCTACGTGCAGGCGCGGTCGATCAAGGAGCAGGGCAAGCGGGCGGCCACGGCGCCCAAGGACAAGAAGGTCGGGTCGCTCCGGGCGCGCGCGGCGACGTACCACTCCGAGAACGCGTCCATCACGATCGATCTCGGGTCGAAGCCGCCGGGCTACGACGAGTGGCGCGCGGCGCTCGAGGTCCACGCGGCGAGCGTCACGGGCTTCATCGGCCAGCCCAAGGGCGGGAAGCAGCTGCTCAGGGAGCGCGGCCTCTGGCACCGGGGCATGTCGTGGACGGGGAAGAAGGACACCTACGGCGTCCCCGAGACCGTCGACATCGACGGCGTCGCGCGGTCGACGTGCGCCAAGGACGTCCTCGCGGCGTGCTGGGACTACCAGAACGAGACCTCGGAGCTCGAGCAGATGGTCACGGACCTCGGGCACCGCGCCATGTTCACACCCAAGGGCCACTGCGAACTTGCCGGCGAGGGTATCGAATACGACTGGGGCGTCGCCTCGCGGTGGAAGCGCAAGAACGGCCGCGACGAAGACCAGCACCTCCAGGAGGACACGCTTCGCTCGTTGTCGCCGAAGGTGCTGCCCGTGTTGCGCGTGCGCATGTTCGAGCGGACGGCGTGGCGCTACAAGCAGGCGTACAGTCGAGTCACCCGCGGCGAGGCCACGGCGGGCGAGTTCGCGGAGGTCGAGCGGCTCCAGAAGGAGATCAGGCGCCACCGCGACGCCGAGGTCGAACTAGCCGCGCTCGAGGGCCGCCGCGAGAACCCGCTTGCCGCCCTCGATGCGCCCCCGGGGACGGCTCCGGTCCGCGCGGCGACGGCCGCGGGCCCCTGAGCGCGGGGCACCACCGCATCCACATAGCCGCATAAAACCACCAAAAAAAGGCTTCTGCCAGCGAGGAATACGTCGGAGGCTACTCCCCGAGAAGCGCAGCGACGACGCCGTCGCTCATGTTGCACTGCAACCCCTCACGTTGAGGTAGATTTATGCCCATTTCGTCTAGCCCGCCGGGCTAAAAACTAAAAAAAGCAACTCGACCGATTCCTCGAAAAAGCAACTCAAACAATCAGGCTGCGAGCAGCCCTTTTGCAGCGTCGATGGACGAAGTTCTCGTCTTCTCCAGCCCGTAGCTCGACGCAGGCGCAGAGTTGCGCAACGATCCCCGCGGCTGCGAGGACCGGAACCCTGTCGCGGACACATTCCCCGCGGGATGTCACTCCCGAGGATTGCGTCGCATCGCGCGCGGGGCGTCCCAAGGGGTCGGAAGAGGGTTTTCGGCGTCCCCCGCACCCTTTTCGACCGTGTTCGAGCGCACGGAGCATCGGGAATCGTTCGTCTATGTACCGCGGGCGTCCCATTTGATCCGCTCGGCCATCGACGTCGAAAACATCGACCGCCAACTCGCGCATAGAAACGTGGCGCGGCAGCCCGAGCGGCCCCCACGTCCAGAAACGCGGTCTGGGCCGACACCACCGCCCGAGCCCCGTCCCCAGTATGTGTCCGGTGGGATCGAGTACATCTCCAGCGGTGGAGGGCCACCCCGCGGTGCCGATCTCGGCCGTTTCGTCGTCCCCATGGAGGCCCGGAACGCCGACTTCACGGCGTCGGCCGCTGCAGTAGGAAATGTGCTGAATCCGCCTCAATGGCCCGAAGAACCCGTCCCACGCAATCACCTACTGCAGAGAGACACCTTCACCACTGCGGACTCGGCCACGCTCGGAGCGCGTCCATCGCGTGTAATGCTCAATAATCGCAACGATGCA